TTCTTCTGGTCCTTAAAATTAGTGGCTTTGTCAGGGCGCCTGGGTGGCTCAGTTGGTTAAGCAACTGCCTTCAGCTCAGGTCATGATCCCGGAGTCCCGGGATCGAGTCCCGCATCGGGCTCCCTGCTCGGCAGGGAGTCTGCTTCCCCCTCTGACTCTCCTCCCTCTCATACTCTCTGTCTCTCATTCTCTCTCTCTCTCAAATAAATAAATAAAATCTTTAAAAAAAAATAGCCTACATTTCACACCTTATACAAAAATCAGCTCAAAATGAATCATGGACTAAAATATATGACCTAAAACTATAAAGCTTTTAGAAGAAAAGATAGGAAATCATTAGGACCTAGATTTGGGCAAAGATTCTTAGAATTGATATCAAAAGCATGGTTGATTAAAGGAAAAATTAATAATTTAGTCTTCATCAAAATTTAAAAGTGTTGCTCTGTTAAAGACTGCTAAGGATTAAAAGACAAGCTCCAGGGTGCCTGGATAGCTTAGTTGGTTAAGCGTCTGCCTTCGGCTCAGGTTATGATCCCAGGATCCTGGGATCAAGTCCCGCATTGGGCTCCCTGCTCTGCAGGGAGCTTGCTTCTCCCTATGCCTCTCTCTCTGTCTCTCATGGATAAATAAATAAAATCTTTAAAAAAAAATAAAAGACAAGCTACAGATAGGGGAAAATATTTGCAAACCATATCTCTAACAGAGGACTTGTGTCTAGAATATAGAAGAACTCATCAAATCTCAAGCAACAAACAATACAGTTAGCTCTGGGCAAAAGTCCCATACAGGCACTTGACTGAAGAACACCCAACAATGGGCAGGCTCCATTCACGCTCCACATCACCTCTCAGGCACCCTCACTCACAGGGTTACTTTAACTTCCTTCTCTTCATTGCAAGTTTTTCTCAAATTCTGTCTGATGAATTGAGACACTTTTCTCTTTTTTACAGAAATACCAAGACACTTGAAGGGTTACAGCTGCCAGGAGAGGACACTGTGTGATTGGCTGGCAGCTCAGGGAGCACGGGAGTGATGTGGACAAGTCCATCGCAGAGGCTGCTGGAGCATTAGGAAGCCTTCTTTCCTCACCGGAAGTGAGGCTGGGGTGTAGGGCAGGGAAGGCTCAGAGGCACGGAAGGATCAGCTCCACACCAGTAAGCTTAGATTTATACTGACTTTCATTTTCAAGTGGCTATCTACTCAGCCTCAAGAGACAAACTTTTAGTAACAGCTATGGCATGGAGCACCTGGATCCAGTCCTATGTTTGGTGACAACCTCTGAACGTTCATGAGTAGGTAGCACATGTATGTATGTTCTGTAAGTCAGCCAGGGCAGGACAACGGCGGGAAGACTCTTGTACTCTCTCGCCCTCCACAGAGTCAAGAACATATGCCCCAGATCCCAGGAATTCTTACCATATATGCTGTCCTGTTGTGTGTGGCCACGTCCTTCTTCAAAAAAGGGCACTGTGCCCTTAATGGCCCCATGTTTGGCACCAGGTTTTTTTAAAGAAAGGCCAACAGATTTGGTCAGAAAACAAATAGCCCCTTTTAGATTGAAGCGATATTTTAAAAAGAATTTTTTAAAGATTTATTTGAGAGAGCATGTAAGCAGGGGGAGGGGTAGAGGGAGAGAGACTCTCAAGCAGACTCCATGCTCAGCATGGAGCCCAACGTGGGGCTGAATCTCACAACCCTGGGATCATGACCTGAGCCACAATCAAGTGGGCAGCTTAGCCAACTGGGCTACCCAGGCGCCCCAGCAATTTTTGAATCTGTGTAAACAACAGAGGCAGGAATAGGCAAATGTATTCGCTCCATGTGTCCCACAGGATGGCACCCAGAGAAGCCATGTGATAGCAGTGCATATGGTAGAACATACTGCTGCTGAGCAAGCCTTACCCCACGGGAGAGGAAACCCTCTCCTGACAGTCTCCGTGCTGGCGAGGGAGGGGCAAGTGGCCTCGGACAGGCTGCGCACCACGCTCGCCCAGTCTCACTTGCTGGGTGGAGCCCAGGCGAGAGCAGCGGCTGTTGAATCCTGGTCTGTGCAGCACCTGTGTGGACATAGGGATTGCCAGGCCGACTCACAAAATGAGAACAGGCATGGATAGAACATCGTAGAAGAGAGTTTAGTTCTCCTGCTCTTCAAAGGAAGAGACAACTGTTCATCTTCGATTTCTTAGTGTGTGACCTAACACTGTGAGGTTTGCTGACTGAATGGTTGTAAACACAGAGTTTGTTTAGAAATAGGAAAGAAAAGTTTATTTCTGGAAATAAGGATGTGAACACTGTGGTCTCTAACAGTAGGGATTTTATGTTAATAGGAGAGAGCAAGTAGAATCAACCCATCTTCAGAAGCATTCATTCATCAGGTCAGCCAGGTGCTGAGCATAGAGTAGTGAGCCAGTCATTCATCTCTGTCTCAGCTTCGTACCAGCCCTTCTCTATCCTGATCCGTAAGCAGGGGACGGAGGCACAAACATTATTTCCTAGGTTCTTACTATCGGTTGTAATAACTGGAAATCAAAAGGTGGTGGTAGTGGGGAGGAGGATGGTTAAAAGTTTTAATTCTGTAGGGAATACCCCAAACTAGTTTTGTAATGATAAGTTTTATGGGTCAACATGACCAGGCCATGGGGTGCCCAGACATACGGTCACACATTATTCTGGGTGTGACTGTGAGGATGTTTGGGAAGACACTAACATCTGAACTGGTATATGCATAAAGCAGAATCTCTTCCCTAATGTGGGAGGCACAAACATTATACCTAGGTTTTTACTATCAGTTGTAATAACTGGAAATCAAAAAGTGGGGGGAGTGGGGAGGAGCATGGTTAAAAGTTTTAATTCTGTAGTGAATATCCCAATTACTAATAGCCTACTGTTGACCAGGAACCTTACCAACAAAGTTGATTAACATGTATTTTTTGGGGGCGCCTGGGTGGCTCAGTCGGTTAAGCAGCTGCCTTCGGCTCAGGTCATGATCCCAGAGTCCTGGGATCGAGCCCCATGTCAGGCTCTCCGCTCAGCGGGAAGCCTGCTTCTCCCTCTCCCACTCCTCCTACTTGTGTTCCCTCTCTCACGGTCTCTCTGTCAAATAAATAAATATTAAAAAAAAAAAAAAAACCACATGTATTTTTTGTTATATGTATTACATACTATATATTTGAAGTAAACTAGAGAAAAAATGTTATTAATAGTAAGATATACTTACAGTACTGCATTTGTTGAAAAAAATCTGCATATAAGCAGACCTGTGCAGTTCGAACCAGTGTTGTTCAACGGTCACTGTTCTTCTATAATGGTGACTTAAAGTTTTCTCACAAAACTGAAACTTTGACTATCAGGAAGGAAAAAAAAGATGGTCTACAAAGTGTGCTTAAGAAAAGTAAATAGCAGGGCGCTAAGTTGGCTCAGTCGGGTAAGCGTCTGACTGATTTTGGCCTAGGTCATGATCTCAGGGTCCTGGGATTGAGCCCCACATTGGGCTTCACTCAGCACAGAGTTTGCTTGAGATTCTCTCCCTCTGCCCCTTCTGCTCATTCTCTCTCTCTCTCAAATAAATCTTTAAAAAAAAAAAAAAAAGGGAAGAAAGAAAAGTAGATAGCCTGAGGAATTAATGGCTAAAACTGTCATCATGAACAAATGAGATGGTACCACATTGGTGACCTGGAAATTAATATGTAAGAAGACCAAAATAGGGGCGCCTGGGTGGCTCAGTCGTTAAGCGTCTGCCTTCGGCTCAGGTCATGATCTCAGGGTCCTGGGATCGAGCCCTGCGTTGGGCTCCCAGCTCAGGCAGAGTCTGCTTCTCCCTCTGCCTCTCCCCCCAGCTTGTGCGCTCGCTCTCTTGCTTTCTCTCTCTCTCTCAAATAAATCTTTAAAAAATAAAACCTTAAAAAAAAACCCACCAAGATGGTTGTACACTAATAATGGGAGTTTTGAAACCATAAGTGATACTTGCTTTAAATACTTGGTTTGACTCTGCTGACCTAAAGGAAGTTTGAACTGAGCAGGCATAAGTTGTGATTCATCTACTATACTTTCCAGTGGAGTGGGTCGTGGGCAGGATACTGTCTGTGGCTTTAGCAAGCACGTGGTTAGGCCCAAGAGGACTGAAAGCTGGGCGCCTGGGTGGCTCAGTTGGTTAAGCGACTGCCTTCGGCTCAGGTCATGATCCTGGAGTCCCGGGATCGAGTCCCGCATCGGGCTCCCTGCTCGGCGGGGAGCCTGCTTCTCCCTCTGACCCTCTTCCCTCTTGTGCTGTCTCTCATTCTCTCTCTCAAATAAATAAATAAAATCTTTAAAAAAAAAAAAAGAGGACTGAAAGCTGAGAACCAAGATAAGCATTAGCGAACTTATCATTTTATTCTGATTTGATTAATTTTCACACTGTCTGCGGAGGAATATTTTCTCTGCAGAGAGTAGCAATATTAAAGAATGGCATTCCATGCCTGGCATACATTTACAGTGATTTCATGATGAAGAACCTAAGGTATTCACATTGGAATGCCTAGTCTGGTCAAGAAATTTGGATTCTTTCTATCACAGTAACCTCACCCTCAACCCGCCAATCTTATGTGATCTGCAAAAAAATGTGCTAGATTAACTCAGAATCTAGAACCTCAGAATTAGACACAAGCTCAAAAGGCTATGGTGAGAAGTTCTTCAGAAGTCTAGATGATATCATATCCAGAGCTATAGGGCCATCTCACGGTTACATTTAATGAATGTTTATCAGCACCTGTGTTCAAGGCACAGTGGGGAGTGTAAGATGTCACGGATCCGACCAGCTGATGGAGGATTCTTTACAGGCACAGCCTTTTGCCCACAAGACATCATAAAGTGCTGGCTGGAGGTGGTTAGCCAGTCTGGAAGCCCATTTCAGTCTAGTAGGTGAGAATAAACATTTCAGATCCTACCCCTTCCAGACAACTCTCCTGTAGCCTCCCATCAAATAAGCTGTTCCTCAGCCACCTTCTAGAATGTAGAAGAGAATCCATCTCAGCCGGACTCTGTGTCTCCTAACACAAGATGATGGGAAGTGGTCAATAAAGCCCAGCCCAGTTTCTGTGGTCAGGAAGGGCTGCGGGTGGCTTCGGTTCAATGAGGAATGAGCACCAACTCTGCCACGTACGACGTGGGTCACTGTGATAGAACTTTTTTCCCGACGTGGCTTCTCTGATGTTGAACAAGGTATGAAGTTCGGGTGAAGCCTTTTCCACATGTGTCGCACTGATAGGGTTTCTCACCAGTGTGGATTTTTTGGTGTTCAATAAGGCTTCTGTTCCGAGTGAAACTTCTCTCACACTCGTTACATTTATAAGACACGGGAGCCTCAACATTTTCCCACTGGCCTTCCACCCTCCCCTGACCCTCCCAGGTCTCTCCACGTTCAGGATCCTGCACGTTTCTATCGCCATGGGTCCTCCGGTGTCTCAGGAGGTGTGAATTCCGCCTAAAAGCTTTACCACACAGGGTGCACTCATACGGCTTCTCCCCCGTGTGGATTTTGTGATGTTCTAGGAGGCTGCAGCTCTGGCTGAAGGTCTTCCCACAGTCCTCACACTCATAGGGCTTCTCCCCAGTGTGGGTTCTCTGGTGTTTGATAAGATCTGAGCTGTGACTGAAGGCCTTGCCACATTCTTCACACTCATATGGTTTCTCCCCAGTGTGGACTCTCTGATGGATGACGAGGGCAGAGCTCCCGATGAAGGCTTTGCCGCATTCCTCACATTCGTAGGGTTTCTCACCAGTGTGGATTCTCCTGTGTTTAGTCAGGCCCGAACTCTGAGCAAAACTCTTTCCACATTCATGACAATAGTGCCGCCTACTTCCTGTGGCATTTTTCTGCTTTCTTGGTAACCTGCCCTCCTGTTCACCAGCTTCGACACAGGCAGGAATCTGGGCAATGTCTTCACTCAAGTGGCACGGTATTTCCCCAGGCTCTTGTCCTGGATGTTCCTCATTTGGGGGCAGGTCTGTGATCTCAGCCTGCATGTTACCGCCTGAAATAACAAGTGGCCAGACATGGTCAGTTATGCCCTGCCACAGAGTTCCACAGACACTGGGATGAGGATTTCCGTGAAAGGATAAGGGTGGGAATAAAGGGGGACAACGGGTGCTGGGGAGGAAGGAGACCGGAGAATAGGCATGGGGCCATCGGGAGCAAGGTGCACACTGGGAGTGGAGGAAGGTGGTGAGGACTGTGCTGGGGACACACACAGAGGCTCTAAGTCCTAAGGACGAAGGCAGGGCCCTGCACTGGGGCTGGACGCTAGGAGGGCTGGGCAGAAGGCAGCAGGAAGCAGGCAAGTGTAAGGACTTGCGAAACGTTCTGTAAGAAACGGGGCAAGCGGGAACTTAGAAACTGATCCCTAATCAGGGATACAAGCAGTCACTCTGATCCCACACCAGGACTGGCTTCAGTGCTGACAGATGTGAGCTGGGGCTCCCACTGTACCGGATGGAGCGGTGTGAGCTCAGACGAGTCAAGCTGTTGCCCTGTGTCCTGCGCCCTGATCTCTAGGTCAGCTCTGCTGTCCATTCCAGGTCACTTCTTGCTCTCATGCTCTGTGGGCCCAAGGCTGTCGAGGCTGTCGAGGCTGGCAGTGGGGAGGGGATCAACACCGCGCACCTACTGTGAGCGAGGCCTGTGCGGGGGGTTGCATGGGCTGCATCCCACTTCACCTGACCAGACCACGGCAGGACGGGGAAGGAGGCGAGGTCACAGGGGTTAAGGAGCTGGTCACACATGTGGTTAGGAGTTAGGGTTCAGAAATGGTGGCTCTGAATGCAAACAGTTCAAACAGGTTCTCACAGCCTGGTAGGTTCTGACCGATAAAGGAAGCCACGAAACCCTAGGAGAAACCAGCACCCATCCGTCTTACCCAGGGGGGTCAGGCCGCCACAGTTCTGCTGCCTTTCATCTCTGTGGAAGCTCCCCCGAGGTGAATCCAGCTGTGTCCATGCAGGGGAGAAAGCCAGGGCCACGTCTTCCGTTTTCAGCAAGCCCTAAAACAGTCCATGATCCCACCTAGCTCCTCTTCCCCAAAGTCATGCCCACAGCTGGGCACAGGAGAGTGAACGTCCCCACTAAAGGCTCTGCAGACGACGCCAGTGGGGCACCTTAATACCTATTTCACCCGGTCAACAAAACAATCAGTGAACACACGAGGGTAAGTGTCTTCACGTCAGTATCTAGACAAAATAAAGGCCAACCCAGTGAAAGGACTGGAACCAAACCGAAACCTCTCAGAAGATTCGTGGGGGCTCATTGACATGAATGATTTTCAGCAAAGTAGTGATGGGGGCTCATTGACATGAATGATTATTAAAATACAATGAAATGTAGGTCTGAGGTGAGAACAGTCAGGGAAGAAAGTGGGACTACAGAATCTCAAGGACATGAAGAACTGGATAAGAAAAGTAAAATCCGGTGTAAGTAAAGACTGTTCAGATTGTACTATTAGTTGAGATAAATGGACATGGCTCATCTGTCCTCTCAACTTTTAAGTTCCCTTGAGAGCCAGAGACCGTGTGTTTATACTCTAGTAACAGCCTTAAAAAAACAAAACTTGGGGTGCCTGAGTGGCTCACCTCTAACTTTAGCTCAGGTCATGATCTCCGCATTGTGCTCCTTGTGCAGTGGGGAGTCTGCTTCTCCCTCGCCCTCTGCCTCTCCCCCCTTCTCATGCACTCTCTCTAATAAATAAAATCTTAAAAAAAACCCACTTCAAAACAAAAGCACCATCACAAAAGCTTCCGCTTGCATTTGCTGAATTGTACTCATTGAAGAAAATCCCATTGAAGCAGGGGCTGACCAGAGAGACGGAGTAGGGAGGATGTGGTAAGTACAGCACCCAAGCTAGTCATAAAATAGGAAAAGGCTCCTAACTAGGCACCAAGAAGCTAGACCATGACAAACGACACTGGCATACGTGAGAAAATTCAAATCCCATCTAGGACTTGGGGGGGTGTAGGATGTAGGGTGGGAGGGAGGGCCCGGCACAGGATGCACAACAGGGGGGCTCCAGCTCACCTGGGGCTCTGAGGGCAGCCTGGCAGCCACCACTGCGTCTCCTCTGCAGCGCCCTCCCGGGGCAAGCCCAGGAACCTGGAGAACTAAGAAGGAAAGACGCTCTGGATGAGATGGACCCTGGCACCCAGCCTCCCTGGCCTGTGGATTCCAAGTTCAAAAACTGGGCTAGTAAATTCCTGCCAGGAAGTTCATACGGAATGTGCTCCTTTCCCCAGAGCCTGGTCCCTACCAGCTCCAACCCTAGGCCTAGAGAGGCGTGGGGTGCTGTCAATATACAAAACCTATACAAAAAGGGCAGGATCCTTGGAAGGAATGATGAATTTAAGCAACATAAAACAAGCTTTTCATCTGAAGATCCCCTGAATTTTGCTTGGGAGGGGAAAAAAATAAGATTTTGGTTAAAATGCCTTTAGTGGTTGTTAAGGGCCTTCTTTGGTTTTGAAAAAGCAGAGTCAAAGAAGGCTAGAACCAGAAATGCACAGGCATGTGGTTGTACAGAACTTGCTTAGAGTCAAGAGAGAAAAGCAAGAACTTCAAGTTTCCCTGTAGGAGGCAGACTTTAAAAGGGGCACAGAACAGTTGGTTTAGGCTAGAACCTGTGTTGAGAAATAAAGACTGTGTGGGGGCTGCCATATCTCGGGGCTGTGTCCTGGGAACCCACACACACGTTCAGGACATACGGTCACGTCCTGTGGAGTGATTCATGCTATTTTAACAACAGACCCAGGGTTGAGAAGATTTATACTCTCATTTGCAATAGTCCTATAATCTGTGGGATATTCTGACTGGCTTTACAGATTCTGGTCATTTTCTTCTTGGCACTTACCACTGTCTGAAACTATATTGTTGTGTTTATCTACTGTCGTCCCCACTAGAACATAAGCTCTGTGGCAGCCAGGACTGTCTCACCAACAACACTGGGCTACCACGTAGGAGGCCTCCACAATTATGTGTGCAATGAATGGAGAACCAGTTCTTTCCAAACCAAGTTTTACTTATTTAGCTTTTTATTATGTCTGGGCTTGATTAGGAAAGCTTTCCACCACTGTTTAAGAGTCAGTCAGTGATGGCCAAACAAAGTAGCGGTCAATGGACCTATTAGGTGATCCTTAATGAAGCTGATGAAGTCTGTAGAATTCAAACTGCCCAGAAGGTAACACTCACCCCTGTCTGCTGAGGCCTGGGACCCCAGAGATTCATGCTTGAGCAGAGCCTTCATTGGCTGGAACTGGGTACTCCATGGCCTCTGAGCTGGTGTCAGCACCGCCATCTTGCAACAGAGTAGCTGCCTCTGGTCACCACCTGGGACCTGGAAGTCATTCACGTATTGATTCATCAAAACTTCTATTATGCTTTCTATGTGCTAGTACTTTCTATTTTCTAGGCGCTATTTCTAAGAGCCTTATGAATATTCACTGAATGCAGATACCAACGACACTATGAGCTAGGGACTATTATTCTCTGTATTTCTGTAATGAGGAAACGGAGGCCCAGAGTTGAAGCAACTTGCCCAAGGTCACCCAGCTAATAAGTGGTGATGCTAGGATGGGAAGTCAGGCAGAAGGAACCCAGAGTCCATGCTCTTCACCACTACCGCATGCTCCTTCATTATATACGTTGTGCTCTTTGGGAACTAGTGTTAAGTTCTCAGAGTACTGTGTCTCATCTTATCTGAAAAGTGAGGGCAGTCATTTCTCGCTTATAGGGTTTTGGGACCAATAAGATGACAATATGTACAACCACCTAACTCCAGACCCTGTACATGGTCTATCCCCATGAAAAGCAGGCTTCCTTTTAGACATTTACATTAAACTACATTTTCCAAGTTACTTTCTCACACGCAGTTCAGACTTAACCACTTCTGTGAAGAATGAGGAGGCTGAAGCTAAGAGCCTTGAAACGACTTCACTGCTCAAGGGCTGGGGGGCAGCAGATCCCAGTCCAGAGCCCTGGGCTCCTGGTCAGTGCCTGGAACGCTCTGCCACATGTCCTCTGAAGGAACAGTCACAAGATGGTGCACAGAGGACACAGTCTCATAAAGGACTGGCGAGGCAGGAAGACGCAGGCGTGTTTCTGAGCCCGAGGTTCTTGGACTCCTTCCCACGTGGTCCAGGAAAAAAGTATTTTAATGCTTACTAGCCTCTAAGAGAAATTTGGCCTTTCCTTCCATTATAAATGGAAGCAACAAACCAATGTGGCATAAGCCATAGGACTTAGTCACCAATAGAAATTACAGATGTTTTCACACCACATCACAGCCAGGCAAACATTGTCAAAGTCATTCATGCTTGTAACAACTTTGAACCTCTGCCAGTTACCGGGCCTGGCCCTAGGTCTTACTATTTGGTGCATTAATTGTAAAGAACATACAGATAATTTTATCACTAATTTGTTTCATGCTCTGTTAACTGTATTTCAATATAATTGAGTTCTTTTGTAATCCTTCATGTTCTTAAAAATACTAGTATGAGGAGGGGTCCAGGGACTTCTCCAGAGGGGCAAAGAGGTTCATGATATATCCAAAAAGAGATTAAGAACTGGATCTTCCAGAAACGCCCCTCACACCGATCTTGAGACTTCAGGGAGAGACGGAGCTCGGCTCTCAGATCCTAAGCCCTTTGCCTCTACCTGCGGCCCTGGCTCCTCCAGCTGCCTCTGCAGATACTCCAAGAGCACCACCACCTCGTCCCCGCTCTCCGGGTGCCGCTCCCGCACCCAGGCCTGCAGGTCCCCCGGCAGGATGGCCAGGAACTGCTCCAGCACCAGCAGCTCCACGATCTGCTCCTTGCTGTGCGTCTCGGGCCGCAGCCAGCGTCGGCAGAGCTCCCGGAGCCGGCTCAGCGCCTCGCAGGGCCCCTCGGCCTCGGGGTAGCGGAAGCCCCGGAAGCGCCGGCGGGAGTTTTCTGAACCCTGAACAGGGCTGGCCCCCTCCACAAAGGCAGAGGCCGCTTCCTCTTCCACTTTTATGACCAGAAGCCCGATCTGGTTCTCTGCAGATTGGTCGTCCAAGGCTGTGCCTTCCTTGGATTCTCTAGCCATCCTGGGCCAAGGCGGTACTTGGGCCTCACTCTAGTGGGCAGCTGTATCTCTGCAGAAGATGCCTGCAAGTGGGAAATCACTATTAACCCGTCAAGTGCTAGCAGCCTCCCTCTCGTGCCCATGGCTCGAAGACATTACCAGGGAGATCTGGGGCACTGTTATGTGAACAAATAGTGCCAAAGTCAGTGAATCAGTGTCATCAAGTCTCTAGATCCAAATACCAGCAAACAGGTGAAATACAGAAGCAAATTAAATTAAAGGTTTTCAAACTTTGCTACACATTAGAATCATTAGGGAACTTTTAAAATATCCCGATACCTTGGCTGAACCAAGATCAATTATATTAGTCTGTGGGGGAGATGCCTGGGTGTTTAATAACTTAAATTTTTCTAGATGATTCCAACGTGCAGCTGAGTTTGAAAAGTAATAAGTTAAAGATACTAAAAATAAGCAATCAGCTAAGTTTAGAATGTGAAACATTTTATAGGACAGAAGACTGAAGCTGGACCATAAATAAATGTTTAAAAAAAAAAAGGAGGGGGAGGGAAGGAAAACTGTCATAGATTAAAAGGGACTGAGTTGGAGCGCCTGGGTGGCTCAGTCGGTTGCCCGGCTGCCTTCAGCTCAGGTCACGATCTCAGGGTCCTGGGATCAAGCCCTGCGACGGGCTCCACGCTCAGCCCGAAGTCTGCTTCTCCCTCTTCCTTTTCTTCTCCCCCGCCTCCTCTGCTCACACGGCCTCTCTCTGATAAATAAAATCTTTAAAATAAATAAATAAAAGACTGAGTAGACAAGTCAACCAAATGCAAATGGTAAATTATATCTGGATCCGATAGGGAAAAACAGCTGTAAAAAGATATATTTCAGGGGCACCTGGCTGGCTCAGTCCATAAAACATGCAACTCTTGATCTCAGAGTCATGGGTTCGGGACCCACTTTGGGTATAGAGATTACTTAAAAATAAAATCTTAAAAAAAAAAAAAAAAAAGGACATTTCAAACAACTAGGAAAACTTGAACACAGTGATATTCAGGAATTACTGTTGATTTTGTTGAGTCTAATAATACTATGATTACATTAAGGTCCTTGTTAGAAACTCACACTTAAGCATCTGTATTTATGGGTGAACAGATATGATTGCTGGAGTTTTCTTTACTAAAAGAAAGGGGAGGGCGCCTGGGTGGCTCAGTTGGTTAAGCGACTGCCTTCGGCTCGGGTCATGATCCTGGAGTCCAGGGATCGAGTTCCGCATCGGGCTCCCTGCTTGGCAGGGAGTCTGCTTCTCCCTCTGACCCTCCTCCCTCTCATACTCTCTCTCATTCTCTCTCTCTCAAAATAAATAAATAAAATCTTTATAAAAAAAATAAAATAAAAATAAAAGAAAGGGGAATGAGGGAAGGGAAGATGGAAGGCAGGGGTAGAAGGGAAAGGGAAAGAAAGAGGGGATAGAAGAAAGAAAGAAAATGGCCAAAAGAGTGTTTGTTGAAGTTGAGGGACAGGCATATTGGGGTTCATGCTGAGATGTTTGAAATCCCTCCCCCCACCCCATTTAAAAACTAAAATCCTGGACGCCTGGTGGCTCAGTCATTAAGCGTCTGCCTTTGGCTCAGGTCATGATCCCAGGGTCCTGGGATTGAGCCCCGCATCAGGCTCCCTGCTCAGCGGGGAGTCTGCTTCTCCCCCTTCCTCTGCCACTCCCCCTGCTTGTGCTCTGTCTCTCTCTTCCTTGGATTCTCTCTCTCGCTGTCAAATAAATAAATAAAATCTAAAAAAAAAAACCACACTAAAATCCTACCTTCCTTCCTTCCTTCCTGAATAACACAGTGTGAAAGCATTTGGGTGGGGTCATGGGAGGTGGGAGAGCACCACAGCTCAGCCACTTTGGTGCCCGGGTGGTGTGAGGAGGGTGTCATGGTGGTGGGGAGGCAGGAGTGACAGGAAACCTACCACCACCTATTCCATGTCCCCATGCACATGTCACCACCTGTCCTATTTGGGGTTTTAGCCCAAGGGAATGGGGTGAGAAGGCACCGGATTGGGAGACTCCTTACAAACAGGAAGTGTTGATCAAATAAGGAAACATACGGCAGTTAATGAGAGCAAAGTTGCTCATTTTCAGAGAAGAGAGTTACAAATAGGGCGAAAAGCAATCTGATGTGAACCCTGTAATTTGGATTGGAGTTACCGGCGTCAGCATGAACTCAGTTTCCCACACTTAGAGTAACTCGTGGAAACACACCAGTTAAGTACTGAAATACTCAGGACTCTCCCGGAGCTCAAACACTGGCACGTGTCCAGCACTGGGCGGAGCCGTGATTTCTAACACCTGGGGCCCTAGACCTTCGCTGTTAAAAGCCCTTCTTGCGGGCGCCTGGGTGGCTCAGATGGTTAAGCGTCTGCCTTCGGCTCAGGTCACGATCCCAGGGTCCTGGGATCGAGTCCCGCATCGGGCTCCCTGCTGGGCGGGGAGCCTGCTTCTTTCTCTGCCTCTCTGCCTCTCATGAATAAATAAATAAAAACATTTAAAACAAAACAAAACACCATTCTTGCTCCTGCTAAATCCAGGCGGCCCCAAGGAAAAGGCGTCCCCAAACTGTAAAGCCTTGGAGAGCTGAAGCATCACAAGACACAACACAAACCCGTTTGGGTCTTTGCTTAGGGACGGGCTCTTTTTCCTCCTAAAATAGAGAAATCATCCATTACAAAGAGAACTGACGAAAGATAAGATTTAAAGAAACGTCAGAAAAGCCAAGACCACTCATTAAAAATAAAGGTGCTGTCATAATTAGAACCACAGTAATAATCCTAGCAAATCCTTTTTTTTAAAGATTTTATTTATTTATGTATTTAACTGACAGAGAGACGCGAGAGAGGGAACACAAGCGGGGAGTAGCAGACGGAGACGCAGGCTTCCCGCCGAGGGAGCCCGACGTGGGGCTCGATTCCAGGGCCCTGGGATCATGACCTGAGCCGAGGGCGGCCGCCTAACCGAGTGAGCCGCCCAGGCGCCCCAATCATGGCGAATCTTGAAACCGTTCTTACTCCGTGCCTGGCACTATTTTAGGGGCCTTACGCATAGTAACTCACGGAATGCTCTCAACCCCGTGAGTTAGGTGACCTCGTTCTTCCCATTTTACAGAGCAGTCAACTGAGGCACAGAGAGGTGACGGGACCAGCCCAAAGCCACCCAGCCAGGACGTGGCAGGGGCAGGAATGGAGCGAGGCAGGCTGACTGCGAAGAGCGGGCTCCAGTCCGGTACCACAGGGGAACCTAGAGACCTCGCCACTGACCTTGTCCACAGACGGAGCCAAACTGAGCGGCCCCCATTCCGGCGGCTGGTGTGTGCGAGCGACCCGAGTATCCCGTCCGCAAACGCGGGGAGGCGGCGGCCCGAGCCCGGAGGCGGGCACGGCCTCCCCGGCGAGAGGAGGGGGCACCTCCGCACCCCGAGCTGGACGCGGGGCGGCCGCACCGGCGACGGGAGCCCCGGGCGACGCTCCGCGGACACCCCCACACGCTCTGAGACGGGCCGCCCCGCGCGAGGGGCGGGGCCGGCGCGGCGGGGCTGCGGCTGCGGCTGCGCAGACGACTCCCGGGCCGCTCTAGCCGCCGCCCGGCCGGCCCTCGGTGGTTCCCCTGCCACCTGCGCGCCTCGCGGCCTGGCTGAGCCGCCGGCGCGAAGCAGGTGTCCCGCGACCCGCGAGAGACCTCCGGCTGCAGCTGGCTGCATTGGCAAATAGAATGAAGGAAAGAGAACTTGTATTTTCTTGTGCAGTCAGAAAGAAACCCGGGGAAAATACGTAAGAAAATTAATCATTGGTTACCTGGGAGAGGTGAATGGTTAGAAACTGAGTGAAAAGGAGGACGGGGGTGAGACATGGAGTACTGCTGTTTTTAATGTATTTTAAGTTTTAGAGCTGATTGTGTTACGTAACGAAGCATGAATTATACATAACTGTTAAGCAGCACGCTGAATTGTTTGCAGAGAAAATCAAGTTAATCTAATACTCAAATTATAATGATTAATAAGAGAATGTGGCAAGGTCGTGTAATTTTCTTTTACTTTTTAAAATATTTTATGTATTTATTTGTTAGAGAGAAAGAGACTGAGCACAAGCGGGGGAGTGGCAGGCAGAGGGAGAATCAGATTCCCCGCTGAGCAGGGAGCCCGATGCGGAGCTGGATCCCAGGACGCTGGGATCATCCTGAGCCCAAGGCAAACGCTTAACTGACTGAGCCACCCAGGCGCTCCAAGGTGGTGTAATTTTTAAAAATGTATAATCACAATTGCATTTCCTATCCCCAGCACACGTTAGGAAACACAATTGTAAAAGACAGCAGTTGCGTGAGGGGCAGTAGGAGGTACCGGCTTCCAGTTATGGAATCAGTAAGTGAAGGGAATAAAAGACACAGCGCAGAGAATATGGTCAATGGTATTGTAGTAGTGATGTGTGGGGACACATGGCAGCCACACTTGTGAGCACAGCATCATGTATAAAGTTGTACTATGTTGTACACCTGAAACTAATGTAACAGTCTGTGTCAACTACACTCAAATTTAAAAATGGGGGGGGGGGGAAGACAGCTAGTATAGGAGTGAAGAAATGCATAAGGTACCTTAATGGAAACATTTTATAAACTTTTATTTATTAAGTATAGGTAATGGAGCTATATATCATGTCTGTGTATAGAACTCAATATCATAAAGATGTCATTATGATATTCCTAAGTTAGTATACAAATTCAATGCAAAGTCAAGCAAAATCCCAAGAATGTGTTCCGTGGAAATTAACTGTTCTTTTTAATTTTACTTCTTTTTTTTTAAGATTTTATTTATTTGAGAGAGAGTGAGCAAACAAGCGAGACAGAGAGAGCGTGCGCATGAGCAGGGGTAGAGGCAGAGGGAAAGGGAGAAGTAGACTCTCCTGATGAGCAGGGAGACTGACTAGAGGCTCTATCTCAGGACCCCGAGATCATGACCTGAGTGGAAGGCAGACACTTAACCGACTGAGCCACTCAGGTGCCCCAAGAGTAAAGTCTTAAAAGTCAAAAAGTGAAACTTTAACACTTTTTTTTTAAAAAAAGATTTTATTTATTTATTTGAGAGAGGAAACACAAGCAGGGGTAGGAGCAGAGGGAGAGGGACAAGGAGACTCTCTGCTGAACATGGAGCCCATCTTGGGGCTCCATCCCACAGCCCTGAAATGGTGACCTGAGCCGAAATCAAGAGTTGGATGCTCAACCGAGGCACCCAGGCACCCCAAAACTTTAATACTTTTAAAAGAAAACTTAGGATCATTTCTTTGTGACCTCAAGTAGAGCAGGATTTGCTTTAAAATGCACAGACTGTGAAGGAGTAATAAATAATAAATAAATTTGGTCTTATTAAAAATTAAAACTATATTTAAAAACACCAGAAACTAGTGGAAAAGTTAAGCAAATGACTGAGAGAAGATATTTGCAACATGTATAACCAACAAAGGTTCAGTACACTGAATATATAATGAATGTCCATAAATAAATAAGGGGGGAAAAGCCAGCAACCAAACAGAAAAAAAAAATGACAAAAAAAGTGCACAGGCAATTCACAGAGGAGGAATCTAAACATAGGCAAATACGCTGAATCATTAGTAATTAAGGAAAGGCCAATTTAAAACCATATCATACCCACACCTTAACAATAACATTTGTGGAAAAAAATGGAATGCTCATACACAGTTGGTAGGGGTATGAATTACTGTACTCACTTAAAAAGCAATTTTGAAATATATATTAAAGTTGAAAATGATATACATACTAGCCCAGCAGCTTTGAAGTATTTACCTTGTAAGAGCTTTGAACTTAAACAAGAGTGTTCATTGAATACTATTCTAGGCTAGACAGCTTTCGATGCTCAGGATACAAAGGTGTCCCCCCACCCCCCACAGAAAAGAGACAAAGATCCTTGCCCTCATAGAGCTAATGTTCCAGTGGGGATTGACACCCCTCCAAAAAAAGACAAACAAAAACCAAAATTTAAACAGAATAATATATAAAGTAGAATGGTAAATGGAAGCTGATGAGCACCATGATAAAAGAAAAAAAAAAGAACCAAATAAAATCTGGGTAGAGAGATTAGAAGTCCTGGCATGGGAGGGGGCTAGATGAAATATCAGGTGGAAAAGTCAGTGTAAATCACATTGAGGAGGTGATATTTTGGCTGAAATCTGAAGGAGATGGAGTTAGCCATATCTGGATATGGAGTGCATATCTGGATAAGAGTGTTCCTGGTAGAGGAAACAGCAAGGAAGCCAAGGGGTTGTGAGATAATAGGTAGTTGGTCTCTGCCCCTGGTTCCTGGCAGAGAGCTCCTAAAACCCTCGTCATTTCCTAAGTGATAAGAACATTAGGAGCATCTCTTATTCTACTGAGGTGACTCTGGGTGGGCTCCTGGATGGGGGCTTTTCACCAGACAGACCAAGCCATGATTAGAAGCTTGGAATTCTCAACCCATCTCCACTTCTCCAGAGAGTTAATAATGGAGAAATGGGGTTAATATTGGAAATGGAGTTGATAATTCATCATGGCTACACGAGGAAGCCTCTGTAACACCCCAGATGTAGAGTTCAGGGAGCTTCCAGGCGGGAGAGCACACTGACACCGAGAAGGCGATGCATCCCAACTCCTCAGCCTCCCATCACCACCCTGTAACTCAATCCCTGTATTAAATTACTGGTATGTGATATGCCTAGAGTACCTTCTTTTCCCTGAGTGTACTCTGACTCATTTCTGAGTGTACCCTGAAGTAGAAATATTGAGAAGGCAGCTGGAGATATGAACTTGAGACTCAGAAGCAGAAAGATAGCATACAGATCCATGAAAGTGGGAGAGATCACATAGAAAGTTAGTATATAGGGCGCCTGGGTGGCTCAGTTGGTTAAGCGACTGCCTTAGGCTCAGGTCGTGATCCTGGAGTCCCGGGATCGAGCCCCGCATCGGGCTCCCTGCTCAGCAGGGAGTCTGCTTCTTCCTCTGCCCTCTTCCCTCTCGTGCTCTCTCTCATTCTCTCTCTCAAATAAATAAATAAAATCTTAAAATAAAAAAAAAAAAGCTTTAAAAAAAAAAAGAAAGAAAGTTAGTATATAGAGAGAGGAAAAGGGAACTGTTATAGATCAGGTTTGCAGGAAGCTGACCTAAGGCTCCAAGATTTGTATGCAGGAGTTTTACTGAAATATATCTTCAGGACTAAGACTCACGAGGAAATTAAGGAAACAGGACCAGACAGAGCAATTGAACTGTGATATGGTTACAAGAGACGCTCCAGCTGATCTTATCAGAAGCTCATGAGCTGGGATGGTCCTTTAGAATTGCCCTGCCCTGATGCAAGGTGTCTGGGAGTAGAGAATACCCTTGTGTGAGGCAACTCTTTTTAAGAGGGCAATTCCCACAGACTCAAGTAGGAGCCATTGTCTACCAATTCTCCAAACAGCTGGGAAAGCAAATGCCTATTTTGGGTACTGAAGCACAGCATATACCACAGTCTACCCTTGAACCTTCCAATCTATTTGTTTGCTATAATAAGAAGTAGGAACAACTACACCAGAATTTCCCTCTCTTCCTGGGGAAACTTAACAAGGGTAGATGAGTAGGAAGACTTGCAGCCCCTGCTGACATAGCACATCTTAAAGTCATAAAGAATATTCATTTTCTCCCTCCTCTACTACCCATTCGAGATTCCGCTCCTCCTTGACTACTACCTCTGATGATCTGGGGGGTATTCCTAGTAGGTGACCCATACATTCATCCCTGATAGGTCTAAACTTCTGGTCACTACACTCCTCTCAGGCAATAGCTGTTCTATTTGTCCATTTTTTATAAAAATTGCTTAGCAAAGAACCAAGACACATCCACTCAAGTGGATCACCTGAGTGACAAACTTTTTCTTCCCTGTCTTCATTGTGTAACAGCACTCCTACCTTCTGATGATGGGACCATCAGTTCCTGCCTGGGTGGTTACTCCTCTCCTCGTCTGCTGGAGTTTTGGAAAAAGGAGGCTTAAATGTCTGGGCGCCAACCCTACCTTTAAGTTTACAGTCTCCCTCTTTCTCATGGCAGAAGTATCCAGGAACTGAGACTTCCAGACTCAGAGGGTAGAAAGCACAAATTTCCCCACGTGGTGACATATAGTCTCTTTCCTTCCTTAGCAGACCCCCAGTGCTACCCCAACCAGCTTTTGCTGCATATAACCCTAGGAACTGACCTAGTGGCCAGATGTGGATGTGGATAGATCCTGAAGAGGCATATGATGTCTTGCTGAGCAGAACCTCTACATCATCTTCAAGCAAGGTGGCAACACTAGCTTTTAACTGGGGGTCATGGAATAATTCTGCAGGCCCATAGGGTTCATTGAGGAATCTGAGGATCCATGACTCTTGAGGCTTTGACTGAGCTATTCCTGTCTGAAGTCTCAGAGTTACATTCCTTCTCAGTCAGCTCTCTGGCAGTGGCTTAGCATACGTGCCAGGTTTGATAATATCCTTGTTTGGAGCTCTGCTAC